CTTTCTCTTATTTTTATTTTTATTTTTATTTTTATTCTTCCCCCGTCGGCAACGGAGGGAGCGGGGATGGGGGGGCGGTTGTGAGGCGGGGGGTAAAAAATTGAAACTTACACTTTTGTGCGTCCCACCGGCGTGACGCTGCGCGCTGACGTCACGGGGTGTAGCGTGCCTTGCACGGGCACACGCGGAGCGGCTAAGCCAACCGTCCGCCCCTCCGTGGGCGGAGGGAGCATGCGCGGGATTTTCGCGCTTTCCGACTCCCCGCCCTGCGGCGCTGGCGGCGGGCGCGCGGGAAGCACCGGCGCGAGATTGCTCTTCGGCCGGGCACGTGGTCGCGATGGCGCCGCCAGGGGGCGGGAACGCGCCGCGCTGCCCCGCGTCCGCGGCGCCGCCTCCAGCGGTCGACCGGCTGCGGGGAGGCGCCCCGCGGGAAGATGAGGGGCGCTGGGGGCGGCGGGGACGCGCGGTTGGGTGCCGCAACGACGTGCCGGCGCTTCCACTGTCTTGAGCGCCAGTCGCGCCTGGGGAAGACGTCACCAACGGAGTCACCGTCCCTGGAGGTGTTCGGGAACCGTGTGGATGTGGCGCTGAGGGACGTGGTCAGCGGGCACGGTGGGGATGGGCTGATGTTGGACTGGATGATCTGAGGGGTCTTTTCCAACCTCGGCGATTGATAACAGCGCTCGTCAAGGCGTTTCCTTCAGAGTAACCCCTCACTCCGTGTCTGCCCCACTCAGTGCTGTGGCCATGCAGCGCCCTGTGCTGACAGCCGCCATGGCCCCATCTCCCCATTCTTCCTTCCTGGTGGAGAGCTGAGAAAGAAGATAACAGCGCATGTACAACGTGTGTGTAACTTTGCAGGAAGAGACCGAGAACCTTCATAGAATCGTTCAGGTTGGAAAAGATCATGGAGTCCAACGACAACCTAACCATACTACCCTAACTCCAACAACCCTCCGCTAAATCACATCCCTGAGCACCACATCCAGTTTTTAAACACATCCAGGGATGGTGACTCAACCACCTCCCTGGGGAGCCTATTCCAGTGCTTAACAACCCTTTCCATAAAGAAGTTTTCTCTGATATCCAACCTAAACTTACCCTGGCGCAACTTGAAGCCATTTCCCCTCGTCCTGTCACCAGTGAGAAGAGACCAACCCACGCTAAATAAACACTGAGCACCTTAAGGCAGATGCTATATAGATAGATACCATGCGTATTTAAACTGTTTGTAAAACTCAAGTCCCTGTCTACAACCCCAGCACCCCATTTACATTAACTTTTCTTAGAAAAATTTGCTCTAGTATCCTAATGACCTGCAGTTTCCAGGATTGCATCCTCAACAGACAATGGGGCGTGTCTGTCAAAGGCCAAAGAAGGAACTACAAGAAAAGCAAATAATTGCTTTTAGAAAATTGGAATTTAACAACTACACTGAGCGACCAGGCGGTTCCTCTCATACTTTAAGTTATACCGCACAGACCAGCTGTGGTGCCCCATCCCTGGAGGGGCTCAAAGCCAGGTTGGATGGGGCCCTGGGCAGCCTGAGCTGGTAGGGGGCAGCCCTGCCCATGGCAGGGGTTGGGTGGGCTGTGAGGTCCCTTCCAACCCAAACCATGCTGTGATTCTATGAAAATTCTTAGGCTGAAAACTTGTAGCTTCTCAGGTACAGAGGAAGATGGACAGAATCTTCTCATAAAGGTGAGAAAATAATTCATTAGCAGTTGTGATTTATAGGAATTAAGAAAACTATACTAGCTTTTTAGAACTAAGGAGCAGTAACAAAGGACAGAATATGAACCTTGTACCACTGTTTTTGCAAACCACATAGCTTCACTGCAAACAAGAATCGATATTTTCTAGACCACAGTCAGTAAGGAAAGCGATTGAAGACCACCTTTTTAATTACTCTAGTTCTTCCGTTTACATTTGTCATGTAATTTTGCTGTTACACCAGCAGGAAAATCTTCAGCTCTCTGCTCTCTCTTCATCTTCTCTGCTCCATCAGGCGTTTTGGAGATGTAGGACTTGTCTGTACCAGTGGAAGACTGCTGTGCGTTACTGTATGTCTGTGGCCTCCTTCTCCATCTTCGGCATGCTTCAGAAGGAGAACAGATCATCGGTTTGCTGTGACTCCACAGCAGATGCAGAGATGAGGAAAACATGTTTTAATAACTTGCAATCAGAAACCTGCAACGTGCCAGAGAACATGCACAGGGACACATTTTGATTCTTGGAAATTGAAGCCAAGCTGTCTTAAGAGAAGGACTTGTTAGAGCTCCTTAAATACAGACCTCGTACCAGCTGATAAGCTTGTCAGCATTTGGCCTCCTTGGGAGGTACTATCTCCCAATTCTCAAATTTCTGCTCTATTTTAGGAAATAAAAATACAGCGTGGCTCTGTAACCTTAAGAGTTTTGCCATTCTCTGATCTAGGTTTTATCCCCCAAGGCTGGATCAGCTGTCCCTAGGCACTCTGGGCATGTGATTGTCCAGTTTGTCCTTTATCTGCAGAAATTGCGATTCCTTAGTCTCTCTTGGTGGCTCACTGTCCCTACTGTCAAGAAGCCTCTTCCCACTGGCAGTAGTAATTACTCAATGGAGTCTGTGGGAGATCCAAAGAAACAATCTTCCTGCTCCATGAAACTGGTAGACCCGTATCTTTATCTTCTGCCTGTTTCCTTCAGGGCAGGGTGGGCCACACAATTCCCAGCCCTTAGAACATCTTGCTGCTTTTCCTTCTTCTTTTACTGGCATCACTGCCTCCCTTCACTGCCAGATCAGTTTGTGGTGGCTTGACTGGTACTTGCTGCTGTTAATAAGCTATTGCCATTTCCAGCCAAGCTACTAACACTGCTAGCACAGCTTAGCCTTGTCACTTAGAGGTCCAGTTTCCTCCACACTCCATGTTGCCCATGTGCTGGAGCACTGCCAGGATTACTTACAGAGCAGAAATACATTCCTTCCCTAGACAAAACCCAGGAGTGCTTTTGTGGTTAACTGTTTTGGCTTCATTCCAGCAGGCAGCAAGACCACACAAGGTTTCTCACATCCTCCATCAAGCACCATCCTATAGCACCGTTCTCTCATGCGAGGCACTCCCACGTGCCCCTCTGCCCACAAAGCAAAGGATGTCCAACTGTAAAACCAGATAAGAGGTACTGTGAGGCTGCTTTCTCCTCATCTTTGAAGATGGGAATAGGAACTCTTAAAGCTCTCAGAAAGTTCTGTCTAGGTACCCACAGCAGCATTCCTTGAGCTTTCTATGCTAGGGCCATATTAGTCACAGTTGCAAGTAGTTACCTTGCAGCTCCCATAGATAACTTCCAAATGAGAAACTGAAGAATAGACTTCATACGGGATGAGCTGTACGTAAGTGCGGTTGTGGGTCAAGATATACCAATCTGGCCCTGGGAACAGGGAAATGAATCACAAAGTATAACCAAAGGCCACACCACCAGCTTATAAATTATTTCTGAAGAGCTGTGGTTATTAATTTTTAAGTGAGCCAACTGTGAAATATTTTCTCCCCTAACAGATCATTCAAGAATAAGACCTATTGTTTCCATCCTAAGATTTTATCATAAGACCACCCAGTGGTGGCATGGAATTGTGGATGGAGCCATTACTTGCATTGTAGGAACCTCCAGCTTTCTATGGGAGAGTCTCAACCATGTAATTGTAAACAAACTTATGTGTCTAATTGGTAATTTGGACTTACATCTAGTATCCAATCTGATAATCCCAGGCTGCGTCAGCAAAGAGACACAGATTGTTGATATTACTACTTCTCTTTCCTCAATCATGACCAAATCAGAACTTATTTAGGAAAGAAATAAAAAGGATGAGATTGCCCTTAGGTCACCTAGATACCTGCTGTTTGGACAATGGTACCAAAAGGACTTTTTACTCAAATCTTTTAAAAGGTAGTCATGAAAAAAATAAATATTTTTTCTCTTAAGAGATGTAAACTGTCTATATTCCTGCTCTCCTAACAGGAATTTTCCAGAGAAATACAACTAACCACAGCAGTTTATTTATACAAAAGGCTTACTTACCACAGAAGTAATATTTTGTATAATAATTTCAAGGACCCACCAGCTAAAAGAAATACTGGAACCCAGATAGAGGCCTCTTTTATGGTCTATCATGGCCTTCCTTCCTTCCTCCCTTCTTTCTTTTCCATAGAGTATACTTTGCAAGAGATAAGCATCTTTCAAAACCAAGGCATTGAGAGGTTTGTATTTCAAAAAGAAACTATAGACTAGAACAGTGGACAGAGTAAGATTTCTTTTCCTAGGACGATTAAGAAATAAAGTTTAAAAGTTTAACTTGGTAGACTGTTAAACCACACTGTAAAACTTTTGAAGAATCTCTTTTAGAAGACCAAGTCTCAGACCACCTCATGAGACTGAATGTGTGCAAGTCTACAGGGCCTGGATAGCATGCATCCCAGAGTCCTGAAAGAACAGGTTGATGCAGTCACTAAGCCACTCCATCATATTTGAGGAGTCATGGCTGTAAGGCAAAGTTCCCATGACTGGAAAAAGGAAAACATCACTCCCATATTTATGGAAGGGAGAAAGGAAAAACCAGGGAACTACAGGCTGGTGAACCTCATCTCTGTGCCTGGGAAGATCATGGAGCAGACCTTCCTGAAGAGATGTTAAGGAAATGAGGAGGCAATTTGAGAGTCAGTATGGCTTCACTAAGAGCAGATTGTACCTGATCAGACTGGTGGCCTTCTATGGAGAAGGGACATCATCAGTGGACAAAGGACGGGCAGCTGATGTTGTCTACCTAGTCTTGTGCAAGGCCTTGGACGCAGTCTCACATCACATCCTTGTCTCTAGAGAGGTATGGATTTGAATGGTGGACTATCAGGTAGATAAAGAATTGGTTGGATAGTTGTAGCCAGAAGGTTGTTGTAAATGGCTCTGTGTCCACTTGGAGGCCAGTGATGAGTACTGTCTGCAAGGGTCCACTGTGGAACTGGTGCTTTTCAACCTTTTTTTTAATCAATGACAGAGTGAGATTGAGTGCATGCTCAGCAAGTTTCTGAATGACACCAAGCTGAGCAGTGCAACTGATAAAACAGAAGGAAGGGATGCCATCCAAAGACCTGGACAGTCTTGAAAAGTACCCTGGGTTGCATCAAATGAACAGTGGCCAGCAGGGAGTGGGAGGTGATTGTCTCTTCTCTACTTGGCCCTCCTGGAGTCCCTCCTGAAGTACTGTGTCTAGGTCTGGGGCCTCCAGCATGAGAAAGTCATAGAGCTACAAGAGCAGGTCCAGAGGAGTGCCACAAAGACAATCTGAAGACTGGCGCACCTCTCCTGTGAAGAAATGCTCAGGGAGGTGGGCTTGTTCAACCTGGAGAAAACCACTCCAGGAAGATTCCATTACAACCTTCCAATACTTGAAGTGAGCTTAAAAACAGGAGGGAAACCGACTTGTTATACAGGCAAATGCTGACAGGATAAGAGAGAATGTCTTTAAACTAAAAGAGAGGAGATATATACCAGATGTTACGGGAATTTTTTCTCTCATTGGTGAGGCACTGGCACAGCTGCCCAGAGAAGCTGTGGCGCCCCAGCCCTGGGCATGCTCTAGGCCAGGTTGGATGGAGCCCTGGGCAGCCTCAGCTGGTGGGGGGCAGCCCTGCCCATAGCAGGGGGAATGGAAGTAGCTGGCCTTTACAGTCCGTTGTAACCAAAACCATTCTATGAGTCTTCTTCTTTTGACAAACTCAGCAGGTGTCAGAGAAAACTCAGGAGGAAGCTGAGGCTACTATGGTACAGGAAAGAAGTACAAAACACACAAGTCCATCCAAAGCTTTGTCAGTTTTGCTAGTGGGAGGATGACTTCCGTTTTAATTTGCAATTTAAACCTACATAACATACATTTTTCT